GTATTGGATTAATGTGGCAGACTGAGGTTGTCCTAGGTGGTTTTCAAGTTTATGCACCGGGTTTTAATATCTTTTAGCGATTTTACGACAACCGTTTACTATCCAATCAAGGTGACAGCCGAGCGTGATTGTGGTCATGTAAGAGATTGACGTCGTGGATATTACGCCAATCGAGGTGACGGAAAGTACAGCAGTCAAACCACAAACTTGGGGAGTCGTACAGGGGGCAATGACCGAAGCTCACCCAGCTAACAACTTTGAGCAATTGAAATTTGGTGAAAAAAAATCAACGCAATTTCAATGAATCCACCTGAAATGAACAGCTCTATCCATTTTCTCTCTTTTCTGTTTTTATAATTGCTATGAACGGAGAGGAAGAGATTATTTGCTCGGTTCAATAATTGGTTGATGTTGGCGGCGAGAGTGCGAGAGTGAGGGGAGAAGGGTTTAAAACAGACTTGACTGAAACTGAAAAACAGATACGTCAGATACGTAAACTTTCAGATATCTGGCGTGATTAACATTCTGTTTTACTTTCTTTTACTCTTTTTGTAAGCAATGTTCAACATCCATGATGTTTTTCTCTTAGTAGAGTGCATTAAACTACGGATTTAATGCACAGTGCTTACATTGTGAGAAATTGTGAAAATGTGTGTGCGCACGTGTAATTCTTGTATACGTAAAAACCGTGGCACTAATCGGCCCATAAAATATTATCAAAATTAATATTCAAGCTTCAGAAAAACAAATTAAGGGTGCATATTAAGTACAGATTCAACCCGTATTGAAAACAAGACAGTCGACAAAAAGACATGCCAAACAAGTATGATTCTTAGCTATTTTTTACATCTTCTGAAAAAAAATGAAACAGCCAAAAGTAAGAAATCTAATAAAATTAAAGAACGAATTTGCAATAGGTTTGACTGTCTTTTGACTGTCTGAAGAGATAGCCATCCCCTCCACAGCCATCCTCTCCACCCTCTCCCCCACCCATAAGCACAAATTAAAAATAACCCTTATGTGTGTTGGCACTTCTGTCAACATTTCTGATATGTACACTTTTCGTTTCAACACTAAAGTACATACCAGAAACCGTAAACATGAGTGCTAACTCATGAAAATTCTAAGCACCCCCCCTCCCCCCAACCAACACCACCACAATTCGTGCACAACTATTGCTCCTACTTACATGATTAACTTGTATTGCAGCTTACTTCACACTCGATTGGATATCACCAAGTCTATCTCAAGCGCTCCAGACTGGCACTGATGACTTCCAAGAATCAGTGTCAACACTGGTTTGAACAGCGCAGTGTTATCACACTCGGTTATACACATTTCCCCAACACATTTTCCCGTGCCTTTCCACGTGCCTATTAGGTAATATCGACTATTACGTAACAGCATACGCACAGCGACCGCTTTCCTTACAGTGTTATACATGTTGATGGCCCAGGGTTAGCGATTTTCTCAGTATCCAGAGTCAATCGCAGTAGTGTTTAGCATCTTGATTTTTTATACATTTGTAAGCAGAAATGTGGTGGGAATTGCGTATGTTTGTGTGCGTGTGTCTATATGTTTGTCTTTTGGGTCTTTGGATGGGTTGCAGTGTCAGCTAGCTTACGAAATAGACCTCTCGCCGGAATGTATTGAAGAATACGCAGGGGATTGTCTAATTTCTTAAGAAAAGTCAAATGGAGATAGGAAGACGTATTTTGTTTTTCATTCAAGACTTTTTTCCTAATCAGCGCACCTTTCATGTTTACCTCTTTTTGATGAGATACTGTTCATATGTTAATCTGGCGGCGCAGACATCGTACAATGTATATACAGAATACATGTACTTATGGCTGTTACATGGAGTTTATGTAAGATAGTTCATTGACATATTCAATTACATTACAAAACATGCTCAAATGCTGACAACGTACGTGACAGGACATGTGTCTATCACCTTTTAACCCGTTTCGAATTTCACTTGCCATGTTACATTTATGAAAATGTTGGTTACCCAATGCGATATGTAATATATCTATAGCTTAATCATTTTTCTACCTGTAACAGTTATTAGACAAAGTAGACAAAAGTGACTTAATGCGTTTGAGATAGTGTGATATAAAACCCACTAATAGAACAGATAAAGACATGCGATAGTACTCAAATAACCCAAGATTCCTCTAAACATAATTATACTTGTTTGTCCTAATGCTTGAATGATTTAACAAATGAGTGACTTAAATAATTAAAGATATTTGATAGTAAACTATTTTTTTCCTAAGGCTCGGATGATAAATAAAAGTGAGGCATAAAAAAGAAATTTATTTTACAATTTAAAAATACACACCTATAGTTGACTGCCTTGAGGTTTTGAGAAATCACGACTGTCCCTGTCCAAAGTATATTTCTTGTCTATGGTTCCCCATAATAAATGAATAAATAAATAAATAAGAAATGCCGGGTATTTTGATAAAGAAATGCTCCCAATACTTGGGATTAAGCCTTGAACCTTTCATAGGGCTCATTCCCAATGAACTACCGGTCTTCGTAGATCGATCCAACCTACCGGGACTCTCAGTGTTGAACAGAATACAAAAATGCTTGTCAGTATACAACGGATATGGGAACATTGGAAACAAGAGGAGGCGTCTCAGTCTGTTAATTTGATTGCATTTAGCGAGTGTCCCCTCGAAGTTGGGATCGATCTACGTAGATCGATAGTTTCAATTGGAAGGATAGTCGGATAGCCGCCTTACAGCGATATAAGTTTAAGGGGCCATTCAGAATAGTTGATCTGAGTACTAATTGATCCGCCTACTAAATTTGGCCGACCACACTCCAAAAGCGATGCCGCTGATTCTCGATGGTCTCATCGCCTCCACACGCGCATCATTAAACGGAGTAAATCTCGGCTCTTAATTGCTAGGCCCCTGCAGCGACGGCGCGTGTGGAGACGGAGAGACCATCGGGAATCATGATCAGCAGCATCGCTTTTGACGTGTGGTCGGCCATATATAGTCGGCGGATCAGTTAGTACTCGGATCATCTATTCTGAATGTTTGTTAAGGGTGTTTTACGAGCAATTGACATCAATATAAGCAGGTGTGCATTTGCAACCTCACTGAATCCTTGCCATCATTCTGAATTACTTCAATTAGTGAGCCAGTCAGTATTTTTCACAATTTGTTTCAGGAATCTAGCAAAAAGAACAAAAAAGTAAACCGCCTTTGCGATTCTTTGTAAATCCTCTGAAACGCTATTTGGACCGTACTCGTACCGTAGACGCCCAATATAAGTCTTTGTGAACGCATCGCGTTTATCCGCAACTGTTGTCCAAGAATGGCACCGAATAATTACTGTAATCATGTGATAACGAGCTAAATAATTTTCTTTGCAAGTCATCATTTTAGTAGTTGTTTTCGTGTTGTTCTTGGTTGAACTGCGGATAAACTGTGGTTGAACTGTGGATAATCATGTACACTAACGTGTACGTACATGTATTTCATGTGTGCGTTTTTCTTTATTTCTATGCGCAAGAGTGCAAACCTGCTGAAATTCATTTCACAATTAAAAAATTCAACATAAGGAGGGTTTTGAGCCAAATGTGCCTGATATTATTTGTATTATCAGCCGAAGCTGACCAGGTCTAATAATGTGACGAAAAGGTACAATAGTGTACGGGTACTGAAGGAAAAGGCTCAGTGTGTAACCCTTAGCTTGCTTAAAAGCTAGGTTAGCCTCTTTAAATAAAAATATAATGAGCTTTATAACTAATCTACACATCATCCCGCCAAGCTTAAGTCTTTCGAACAGGACAAGGATTATAGTATTTCATCTTACCATATCATAAAAAAATTGTCATTCTTTTCTGCCCCCCCCCCCCCAAAAAAAAAAAAATGGCAGTAACTGCATGTGATATAACAGGGTGAAAAAAACATAGGCTGTATTTCCAAACTAATGTATTTCTTTAAGGCAAAAGTGTGAATTAGAAAAGCCTTGAAGTTAAAAAGGTGATAATATCCAGGGGAGATGTGGATTTTTCAAAAATGCCAACACCTCTCGGTTTTAATCAGTTAAAATGTTATTATTACTCAAAATTTGAAGTAGTTTCTTCCTCCCCTTTTTCTCATGTTTAAGCATCCCTAATCCCATGACCACACATTGTTTAGTAGTTTGACTGAAGATTTGCTGTCAGGATTTGTTTTAATTTAGTGAAACCCAGATCAAGTTCAGTAAACTGCAGAATCAGATTATTAAGAATAATATATTTTGCTTCAATCAACAGCTCAATATTGAAATTGTTTGCCTCCAATTTTTCGATGTCTACTGAGTATCAGAGAATCTCTATCGGGGAAAATTGTTTTATTTTTATAACATAACACAGGTGATGTAATTCTTTAATTTTCACATATTTCTGTTTTTTTCCCCACAGCCATTATTGTTCAATTTGAAATTTACAGGAAGATCTTATATTGTAAAAATGCAGGTCATGTACAAATATTGGCAAAACTTGTCACTTTCCTTACAGCTCTCAATCCTACAGCACTAGCACATTGCTCAGTCACTTCTCTAACACAATCAGTCCAATTGTTTAAAAATCACTACCACCTTCTCCTGTACAATTGGGTTGTCTGGGATTTTAACCGTTGCAGATACAGTGCTAGCTGATAAACAATTGGCAAACCATTCATGAAATACTGTGAATAAAAAAATATACCCCCTCAATAAAAAGGGGGTTATACATTCAGAAATTGCTTTGATTTGTATATTAGCCTAACCAGGGGATAAATTCTCCTAACACCCATTAACTAAAAGATGGTTAAAATTGTGTTTCATAAACAATGTTTAAACAGCCAGTTAGTCAACTGGCCAGTGTTTAATTGGATGAAATATATAAAGGTAAGTTAATATTAACTGGCTGTTTAAACACTGTTTATGAAACACAATTTCAACCTTTGTTTAGTTAATGGGTGTTAGGAGAATTTATCCACTGCTTAGACTTAAACACTGGTTAGTGCTAAACGTCCTTTATGAAACTGGGCCCTGACCCTTATCTTTGTCCATTCACCCATCCACCTGTCCACCTTTCCATCAGTCTGTCATGGTCTCACTTTATCGATGATCAGAAAAGCACCAGGCTATTAATTAACTATAAGCACGTTCACCGTGTTCCAGCACACAAAGATGCTTTGGATTTTCTTTTGAGACAGAAAAAAAAATCACATTGCGCTTTCCAATTGGTGAGTTAGATTTTTTATTTAAAAAAGGCAAAATTCCTAGAGAAAATACTTCATTTAAGTTTTAAAAAAAAAGGAGATTGGAGATTGGTTAAGTTAAGTATAAAGCATACTTAGCTACATCTAGAATGTCACACTGGTGAAAATAACACAAAAATAACATTCAACTAGTGCTTAAAATCTGGATTTCACATTAAGGTACCTACTAGGTTTCACTCTAAGCAAGATACCAATTGGAGATTGAGGTATCCTACATAGCCAGCAAAGCTGACAAATATACAGACAGTCAACAGAAAAATATATCTATCATTGTGCTAACACATTAAAATCACAATTATTGAGAAATGTTTGATGACTTGTTAAAATAACTGAACTATGGTAATGATCAAACATGAACTTACAATTTAAGTACAAATTTCAGAACTACACCACTATTTCATACAAGCTTAGTTTACTAACAGAATGATGCTGGTAAGATTCAAGATAATCTACAAAATTGCGTTGTTAAACACATCTTCAATGTTTGCTATCCAATCCCATATTTTCATTCTATGTCCTTTTCTCTTTGATTAGTCAATACAGTTAAATGACATTATCAAACTCCCACTGAGCATTTTTCACATGATACAGATCACATGATTTTGGTCACATGCCCTTAGTCACATGACCTGTTTTCGTGTTACCAGTGATACACTCCCCCCCCTTTTCTCAAATATGCTAGCTTGTTTGTTCCTTTCCTGAACCTTCTGTTTCCTTGAGTTTTTGGAGAGAATCGTACAAAAGGTCACATGCTGCCTTGTGTTTCTTCCAGTGGCCAACCTGACACTCTCTAAAATAAAATTAAAAAACAATGCATTATAATAAGAAAATCTAAGGTGATTTTATCATCTTAGCATCTTAGTTAGATGTACAGAACTGCAATATGTTGGCAAAATGGTTTTCCACTTCAATCCCTCTTCATACTAGTTAATTGATTTATTGGTAATTCTCTCTCTCTCTCTCTCTCTCTCCCAAAAGAATGAATAAATTAAATATCAAATTATTAAATGAATAGATAAAAAAAGAAAAAAATAAGGTGAACATTAACATCTGCATTCAAGTTTAAATCATCTTAGCTTTTCAAGCTTTGTTACCACCTTTGTACATCAATTTTTAAAAGACCACTACCAAGGGACCGTTCACATGGAAAGTCTATTTTCTAAAAATCTATTTTCTATTCGCGGTATCTTGTGATCATGGAAGTAACTGGCTCACGCTGCCAGTAATTACGACGCGGGATATTCAGGGCACAGACCGTGATCACAAGATGCCGCGAATAGAAAATAGATTTTTAGAAAATAGACTTTCCTTGTGAACAGTCCCCAAAAGACAGGCAATATATACCTCCTACAGTACCACTCATTCTGACACCGGGAACATCTCTTAGCAGCATCAGCGCCACACACAGCACACTTAGGCGGCTCTGTGATCAGGCTTTCTAAGACATCAAAATTGTATGTATCCACCCATCTGAAATAATAATACAAATCATATAAAATCCTGAACTCTTACAGGCATATGATGTGTACAAGCAAAACCTTTGAATTAAAAAAAATCTTGGTAGATTGATTTTTTTTTCTTGATTACCAAGGTACTACTTAATCTCAACCAAAATTGTTGAGAATTTTTTTAATCTGTTAACCCACTTTTCCAGTTTTAAAACATATTTTCATAATTCATTTTATATTGATTCCTTTGGTATCAGATCTCTTTTTGTTGTTTACAACAATCCCCCACCCCCTCCCATCTATTTAAATAAAATATACCTTTTTGCTTGGTCTCTCAAGCTGGCTTTGCTTGGGTTAAAGTATGTTTGGGACTGTTTCTTGGCTAATTTCTTCCATTTTCCCTCGTACTGTGTCAAAATCTTTTCTCTGATCTCTGGTATCTGGAAAACATTTATTAATAATTTAATCTGCTATTCTAGCCATGCTGAATTACAATCAGAATGTTCAGTCTCTAAATGCAGCACCTGCATAATTAGAAATAATCAATTTAATACTCACTCTCCAAAATGGATCTTAAAAAAACAAAAAAAAAACTGAATATGCAAGGACCGAAGATAGGTGACTCTATATAGGGTATCCAGGGACAGAAATAAAATTTACACCCAAATATCAGTATTTCTGGATAAATCCAGAAAATTTTCATCTCTCTCTCTCTCTCTCTCTCTCTCTCTCTCTCTCTCTCTCTCTCTCTCTCTCTCAACCCACCTGTTCCAGCACCAGGTCTTTTTTAGCAGGGGGAGGGTCCATCATAGACAGATGTTCCAGGAAGCGCTGCAGCTCAGATAAGACTGGCATTTGGTCCAGCACTACCTCTGTCAAGTAGGACCTTAGCTGCAAACCACAAAATAGAGAACTGGACAAGTACTCAGAGAGTGCAGACCCCCATTTCCCAACAAAAAAGTCTTATAAGATCTGAAAAAGTCTTATAGGATCCTAAATTGGGCCATTTTCCTATAAAATCCTATAGGATCTTATAGGATCCTATAGGACTTTTTAGTAAGGGTTAGGCAGTTAAATTCTCATCATTACAGTCAGTATTTAGTATTTATTATTACATTGTTATCTCATTCATTAATGGATCACCACCAACATCTTACTGCTTTTAAGTAGGCCCATTCCATGCCTATACTGGAAATTTTATCAACAACTGTCCATATATCTTTACCTTGATAGGCTGACCTTTACCTTAATAGGCTGACCTTTTCCTTGATAAGCTGACCTTTACCTTAATAATGACATTCTTTCTATAGCTGCTGAGGTCATACTTCTGTTGACAGTCTTGATTCATCAACAGTTGGAACAAGGCAATCCACATCTAGAAACAGATCCAGACAATTGTTCTTGCTATCATTAATTCCTTAAGGGTATACTGTATATCTTATTGGGTACTACAGGACATACATCTTAGATAAGAATTCTGTGGGATGTCTGGTAGAATTCCTATAGAGTCCCATAGAGTCCTGTAGGAATCTTATAGTGTCCTGTAGGAATCGTACAGAGTCCTGAAGGATTTTGAAACAGTCCTGCAGGATTCCTATAGAGTCCCACAGAGACCAATAGGACATCCTATAGGAAATTTTTGCAGGGGGTGCTTTCTTTCATGCAGAAACAAAAATCTTTATTTATAATTTTCATTTATCTTTAAATGCCAGTAAAACATGAACATGAGTTTATTGAATATCATTTAAATTAAATAAGTAAACATTAAATCTGAACATTCTTTGTTTCTAATGAACAGCTGTTTTTATTAACTTTAAAAGTTGTAAACAAATAGTTACCTGTCCTTCGATTTTTGTCAACTTTAGGCTATCACCATATGATACTTCCTGCCATTTGTTATCTACATATTTCTTTAATTTTCCTGCAGAAAAAAAATTGAAAAATATGCATACATGTCTAAAGATAGCTGTATCAAATTTATCCAAGATATAAAGATATAAAATCAAACTTATATCTTTAATTTAGAAACCCATCCTAGTGATTCTCAACACCTATAGTTTTAGAACCAAACACTGTTTTCTGTAAATAAATTAATAAAAAAGTTTTTACCAGTTAACTTATAAAAAGACAGACTTAGTTATAAAGCTTATCTAAGAGAAACAAAAATAATAATTTTCACTAACGAGTGTATTTTTTTTTTACTCAAACCAGCAGGACTGCTGAAGTTTAGACCATGTCTTCCCTCTACCAGGGTTGCAGATAATGAGGGATACCAGCCCGCTTGGCACCAGGTGTCGCTAGTGTGAATTCAGTCCTTCCACAGTCGCCATTTTGGAAATAACATGTGTTGGACTATGGCACTGGCCTTAATAAACTTGCCTCAGTATTGTTGTGTATCTGAATGTTAAAGTCGGCAAGGTGGGCATAATTGTCCTGAGGATTCAGGGCTTCGTTTGAAGTGAAGGGTTGCCCATGTCAACACACCTTGCATGTTAAAGGGACAGTTACAACTTGGCACAGGCACAGTACAGTAATTAGGCCCCTAAAGATAGACGAGTTGCCTCAAAAAGAATACACGGAGAAAGGTTAATTGATCTTGGCAAAACTTATAAAGTTTCGGAAAGAGAGCTTCATAGCTTCATACCCCTAGGAAGTATGATTTATCAAAGTGCGTTTTCTTATGTCCGCAATTTCAGAAGAGTTGTCAGTAAATATACATAAGTGCCGGTAGCCTACTACCCGTATAAGGTTGTGTTATTAAGTAATATACTTTTTTATTGATGTATTGAGCATGACC